AACCAATCATATCGGCGGTAACCGCGCAAAGCAGTAGCGCACTACTAGACGCCATACCACAGCTTATCAGCCAATAGTTATTATCAGTTGCTAAATATTCCAACAGCCTATACTGGCCTTGACCTATATTTGGTGACCGGGAAAATAGTTCCACAACAAACTTAATATAAGATTTAGTATATGCTATTGATGAATATATCATACATAGAAGTGATATTATGTACTCTTAGGTCACATCCCCCACATAGCAATAAGCGCTGAGAGGGACCTTCAAGATTATTCGAATTACTTGCACTCGAACGCACTGGTCTCGTTCCAGTTACCTCCAACATACTTGGCCTCCTTAGGGTAGACACAGAGAGGGCGCTGAGCCTGCACACCTTCCGAGGGGGTGTCATCAATGAACTTGGTCGCAATCAGCTCATCAGGAGCAATGCCATTCTCAACCCAGGCCATCAGCGCCAGGATGGCATCGTGCTTCCGGTCACGGTATCCAGGCACACCCCAGACATTGGTGCCAGTCAGACCACCGGGTTGGTTAGCCGAGGCAATGTACCAGGGAGCATCGTGGACGGAGTCCAAACAGTGCTCCATACCAGGGATCAGGAAGAAGCGGTAGAAATCGTCAAGCTCGATGCCGAGAGGAGTGAGCATCTTCTGGACCTGCTTGTAGTAGTAAATGCTGGAGCCGGTGGGGATCTCTCCGTCAGCGAATCCGTGGTAATGGATCAGTTTACCGCCCTTGTTCTTGAAGGGACGGAGATCGAAGTCACCGGCGGTGGCATTGCCAGGATCCAGTTGATCAGACAGCTGAATGGTCGAGAAGTCCAGGTTTTCCCAGGGCCAGTTGGCATCGTTATAGACAAAGTCACGGGGGTAGGCAATACCACTGGGGCTGTCCTGCTCGTCGTCGTCGGTCATGATCATTTGAGCGAACTGGGTTTCAGACCCGTAGGCAAAGCTGGGGAAGACAAAGGAGTCGTTAGTCTCAACCCAGGGGCTGTAGATCTTGTAGACAGTGTCAATCTGATCGGCGGTGAAGCAGGTCGACTTGTTGGCGGAGGGACCATCACAAAGAAGGGTTTCGGGACGGAAGTCGCAGGCATAGCCGTTCATGATAATGTTATCCTTGACACCATCAACTTCGTCGCATTGACGGAGGACTTCAGTGGCCAAAGCATCCACTTGAGTCTCGGTGATATGGTGGCTGGCATTGTTGGGAAGGTTGTAGGTGGCGAGCTTGAGGTCCCAGTTTTGCTGGTGAGTGGTCCACCAAGCGCAAGCACCAGCAAGAACACCATCAAAGTCGTCGGGGAACATCTGGACGTACTTCAGACCCTGGCGACCGCCAGTAGAGCAACCAGCGTAGTAGGAATAGCTGATATCTTCGCTGTAGAAGGCTTCAGTAAGCTCCTTGCCAAGGGCAACGGAGCCGTGGAGAGCACGCCATCCCCAGTCAGTGCGAGTCTCGGGGTTGTTGAGAGCCCAGCCTGCATCACCAGCCTCAGTCACGGAGGAGTTGTGTCCAGTGTTTGTGGAAACGGTGGCAAAACCGTAGAAAAGACCAGGTGCCATATCAGCAAAGGCAATCATTCCAGTGAAGCCACCATTGCCATAGGCCATGTAACGCTTGTTCCAGGTGTTGATGGGCAGCCAAAGGCCGAATTCGTAGGAAGAGGTAGCAGACGAGCTCACGTTGACATAAACGGCACAATACTCGGGGAGACCGGAGTAGTTGCCCAACGGGCCAACGAAGGTATCGTTGGGTCCATACGGAACTGCGTAGACTAAGGAAGCATTGGAAGAAAGATGGGGAGTGAAGGTCTCAGGAGTACAGCGCGAGGCTGCGATAGCCTGGGTGGCAACCAGATTAATGGCGCCCGCCAGGAGATGTGAAAGACGCATCTTGATGATGAAAAGAGTGGAAAGGTTTGATCTGTGTGAGGAAAGTGATCTTCATTCTGTATTTAAGCAGCCGATGGAGCCTGTTCGTCCGCCCTGACCTACGTTCAGAGAAAGGGAAATAGGCATCCATGATTGAGACTGACGCGGCAGGAGGTTTTTCGAGAAGTGGGACGATTGAGCTGTTGCCAGTATCAAGGCTTCAATGTCTGACGATGTATGGGATGCTTCAGGGGCAAATCATGTCGAATCCACCGGTTGCGCGTTCGTCGTTGTGGTTCCGGGCTACAGAGTGGAGAAGCGACCACCAGATTGGTAGGGCAAAGCTTGATTCTAAAAACATGCCGGTTGGAGTGGAGGATCATCAAGGCTTGCTATTTTAGCGCCCAGGTGAACTCTAGCACTAAAATCTACCGCGCGCGAAAGGTGGAGTGGTATAATACCACAAATTTTAGTGCCCGTATACCCGTTACTCTATGATATGGCGCTTATGCACATGGTTGCAGGTTTATGGCTCTAAATATGCCACTAATGCACAATGTTGCAGGGCGGTTGCTCTAAAAGGGGCGCTTACGCACAGGACTACATATAGAATGGTTCTAATACTGGGACACATGCAGAGTGTCGCAGTGTGACTGCTCTGAAAGGGCCACTGTTGCACATGGTTTCAGGACAGAGTGTGCGTAGGTGGGGGTGGTATAATTAAGCTTATACTAGTTCTTGACCGTACAAAACAGGTGGTGGAGGCCGAGGTGCCTTATCGTACTTTGTAACAAGGCGCAGGCAGGCGGAATTGAAACTTCATTCTATCTCCATATTCTGTATGGCTTCAGGTGGCTGCAGGTCACTACATTTAGCTGCATGGGATGTTAGACTCAAGTAATCCTAGCAGAATACTTCTAGCAGAAATAAAACTGCTCGGGCCAGCAAAAATCTACAAACGATGCGGCACAATGGCCTGGAAGGCTTCGTCATAGTACGAGCAGAATCTTTCGCTAGAAGGCTTGATGCGGCAAGATTGAGTGTAGATCGCGGAGATAGTAGCAGTTGAATTCCTGATTAATCAAAAACCAAACCAAAGCAACATGCAGCAAAGAAGTTGACTCGTAACGGGTGTCGGTGAAGCAGCGGTATACCGGATCGGGTTTAGTCTCCGCAAGGTTGCTGATCAAACAATCTGCACTAGTCCGGGTCTGGAAATGTTCTCGAGCTCTGGCCAGACCCTGCTTTCCCTCTTTTGGTAGTAGTCGGCAGTTGTCCGAATTGACGTGGTTTCAAGGATCATCCAGGTGCCGGCTACGCGGCAATATTTCAAGCTAATCTATGCTATTACTTCTGTATTATGTGTGGCAAGTGGAGGATGATTTGCTTCATGGGTGTCTCAGAAGGGTATCGTAGTATGCAGGGCAGTTTGTGATGATCCCCAATAGTATGTTATGTTCGTTACTAAACCATCATACTAGTCGGAGATGTACGGGAATGCTGACCACAGTGCGCTGCCTAGGGCATACTCAAAGTAGCCTCGAGACGAGAGCCTGATAGGGTCATGATGATCTCCAGTTCTTCATGCTTCCATATACGCATATCAGGCGTTTAGACTAATTACTTAGATATCTCTAGGCAGCATCGTTCTTTGAGCACTATCCATGATAGACCACGAGGAACTAGACTATAAGCTTATCTATATGATACATACCTAAAATTAACTGTGTGGGCCTCTTGCTTTATTCAGACAATACGGCATATAGATCCACTTCTGAGGGTTGCTAGAGAAATACTGTTTCTGGGATTGAACAAGCTCTTGCATTCTTAGGAATCATAAGAATGTCCATGGTGTTCGGGAATTTTGATTGTTTGCTCTTCCTTTCTTTCTTAAATTACAATCTCGTATATGTGTATATATATATATTTATATTTTCTTGTATATTTTTAAGTGACATGACATAGTTCATTATTTAGGTCTAGAAATGAACTGTTTCCCAGCTTCGGTCTCACACTGTAACACTGAGCTCTGTACCCCGAAATGTCCAGAAAGGACTGACTAGACTGGTACAACACACCCAAAAGAATCTCTACCTCCCCATCCACCCCCCATCAACCAACATCACACTCCCGGAAACATACCGACTCGCCTTTCCGGCTAAGAAAACCGTAACGCCCTTAAAGTCCTCCGCGGTTCCCCACCTCCCCGCTGGAATACGTTCGAGTATACTCTTCGCGCGGTCCTGATCATTCAACAGCGCCGTATTCATCTCCGTAGCCACATACCCCGGCGCCACCGCATTAACATTGATACCCTTGCTCGCCCATTCGTTTGACAAAGCTTTTGTGAGTTGCGCTACGCCGCCCTTCGCAGCCGCATACGCTGGGACTGTAATACCTCCCTGGAAGGAGACCAGCGAGGCCACGTTGATGATGGAGCCGCGGTGGCCGGTGGCGTCTGGGGTGCGAGTGAGCATGTAGGCGCCGATGTCGCGGCACAAGGTGAAGATGGTGGTTAGGTTTGTTTGGAGGACCTATGTATCAATTTCATTTGGTTAGTGTACGGGCGGTTTGAAGGACGGGGGAAGGGAGGAACTGAAGAACTGACTTCGTCCCAGTCGCTGTCTGGAAATAGATGGCTGGGATGGCGTCGTTGAATGCCTGCGCAGTTGACTAGGATGCTGATGTCGTGGCCGTCGGAGAGGAGGGTAGGGGTGAGTTGTGAGACGGATTCGCGGGAGGAGAGGTCTGCGGTGTAGATAGTTGCTTTGCGGCCGAGGGATTCGATGCGTTGTTTTGTTTCGGTGTTGGAAGTGTCTCTCTATTTCGTACAAGTTAGAGTTTGTAGTTGGTGTATAGTAGATAGTAATGGTGGATACCTGGACGAGAATCACGTCGCTGCCGGCTTCGGCTAGGGCAATGGCCATTTGCTGGCCGATGCCGCGAGTGCCGCCGGTGACGAGGGCGGTTGTGTTCTCGAGAGAGAAGAGGTCCATTATTTACAGTCAATTGAGTAGAAGTGATTGAGTATGGCTTGTGAACACTATGTTAATACTACTATGAGCTATAGCTGGTATATGTATTCGGACCGATATCCGAGGCACCCCCACGCTCTCCGCATTCTCAGACGTCAGGATGCAGATCACCTCCGCATTCACCCCCACATTCTGTCCTACAAGTCTAAGCTATCTACCACTCGCGAATACCCCCATCGACGCCATAGAATTCCTTCGGTAGCCATGGCTCCGATTCCCGACTGATTCTACGCACCATCTCCTCGTCGATCTCCACTCCCAGCCCCGCTCCTGTAGGCGCTGGCACATATCCCTCTTCGATGTTGAACACCGTGGGATTTGTTAGGTAGCTTGTGAGGTCAATGTCACCGGCTTCAACGTTGTAATGCATTCCGAGCGACATTTCTTGGATGACGAAGTTCGGGGTTGAGAGGGCGACTTGCATTGAAGCTGCGAGGGCAATTGGACCTGACAATATCATTAACGCCCGAAACGTGTAGAGAAGTGGGATGTAGCTCACCAAGAGGACAGTGCGGCGCAATCGCCACGTCATAAGTCTCCGCCATGGTCGCAATTCGCTTTGTTTCCGAGATCCCACCAGCATGCGCAATATCCGGCTGCAGCACATCCACTGACGCATCCTCGAGGAACCGCTTCACATCCCACCTAGTATACAATCGCTCACCAAAGGCGATTGGGATAGTCGTGTGCTGAGAAAGCTGCTTGATAGCTTCGGGATGCTCAACAAGCAGGGGTTCCTCGATGAACAAAGGACGGTAAGGCTCAAGTGCTTTCGCGAGCTGCTTAGCCATGGGGCGATGTAGACGGCCGTGGAAGTCGAGACCAGCATCAAGACCGAGAGCCTTGACCTGTTTGATGCGCTCAATGCAGGAGTCTAGTACGGATGGCGAGTCGAGCCAGTTCATGTCTTCTGTCGCGTTCATCTTGACGCATTTGAGTCCCTGTGCGAGACGTGCCTTGCTGGGTACTATTAGGATTGGGACGCGAACAGCGGGAAAGTTACTTACGCAGCTACTTCAACATCACTCGGCCGATCACCTCCAATCCAAGCATAAACCTGTACCTTGTTGCGTACCTTGCCTCCGAGAAGCTGGTACACCGGTACGTTCAACCTCCGCCCTTTTAGATCCCACAATGCGATGTCAATGCCGGACAAGGCGGACATGAAAACGGGCCCACCGCGATAGAAACCCAGCCGCCAGATAGTTTGCCAGATGTGCTCGATGTCACTGCTCAATTAGCACTAAAACAAGATAAGAACAAAGAAAATTGAGGAAGCATACTCAGCCTCATAACCAACAAGCCTCCCAATGATCTCATCCAACGCACCCTCCACAGCCTGTGTATGCCCCTCAAGCGTAGCCTCACCCCAACCAAACTTATCTTCGTTGTCCGTCACCTTGACAAAAAGCCAGCGCGGCTTGACGCGAAAGTACTCGATAGACTTGATGGGAGCCATGATTCTGGGCAATTGGAATTAGCAATGAGCTTGCTTTTGCAATGACGCCGTAGCTACTCAACAGACAAAGTATTTATGTAGCACCCCCACGCAATACAGCTTCTAGATCTCCAACGATAGCAGCTGCAACAACCCCCATACCCCGCGTGGGGGTAGCACAGCAGCTGTAGACCGTGGGGGGAGAGGATGAAGTCGGGAATTTCACATTATTGGTGGATCAATAAATGGCGTGCATATCCGAATCTGCGGGTTGCTCGCGCATTGATGGATCGGAAAAGTGGACCGGTTATCCGGGCGGTGCCATATTTATCAGGCCAGGATATGATATGGACTTTATTTCCGGCGATGATGCTGTGGATGGGCAATTGTTGGACTGGTAGGGTGGTATTATAATGTTGCCATGGTTGATCTTATTGTCAGAACACTCCGCTTGTTGATGATATTATGATAGCATAACTACTTATCCCGTATAGGTGAAACATTGTCCGCTAATATGTCACCATTACTCTGAATATGAACAAAATTGTTATAACAATCCAACTTTCCCTACCACTAACTAACCTAATCAGCATTCAAGTGATAATCAGACACACATACTTTCACAAGAACAATGCCAGACCCAGACTCTGTCTCCAACAACTCCTCTTTGCTCTTTTCCTCTGACGATGAACATAGCAGTGGCCACTACGATGCGGATGATCTTCGCGGAGAAGATGATGAATATTTCCAACAATGTCATATCTGCGGCTACGCGTTCTACTTGAATAGGTTTTCACCAGACGCACACGACCTGAATGATGTCACCTTCCACCATCCCCAAAAAGGTATCTGTAAAGCCCAAAAATTGGAGAATTTGGATATGTATGGCGATTATCAGTCATGCTGGTGGATGCCTCGTCGGATGAGTAAGCTAACCTGCTACCTACCATCATAAGTACTTACTGCGTGAGGTCGACATCATGGCCTGGAAAACCGCTGGAGGCCGAGGAAAAGTTGTCTGGAGGTTTGATTGCTACTGACACAAATACCCGCCAGTTCTACACAACATTAAAAACGATGGGTGCCAGATATCCGGCGTTACCATACCACGAATGAACTATGGCACCTTCTTTGTACCTTGGAAGAAGACTGATGGTTTGATCTACGAGCCTCGTACAAGTGAGCAAAGGCGGAAGGTGGTCATGCCGATGGTTAAGGTTGTGATCGATGAAGAAGGTCATACCCTCATGAGCGGGTATGAAGACGATATTTCCCATGACTGGATGGGATATCCAGTCCACGCACGGTGCTGGGAACTGCTCATGCACCACAACCTAGGCGATATTGCGAACAAGAACCTGAAGGTTCTCATGTTAGCTTTAATACAGAGGCATGAGGAGAACTCGTGGAGACGGGTGTGTGGGATGCCAGACGAGTGGTTTGGAGGTAGATATGCATCTTTTATATCCATTCCTTGTGTGCAAGATGCTTGAACATATCGCTGCCTTTGTTGAGTGGACTAATGGTTGAACTAATGCTGTGTCAGACCCGGTCCGGACTGAGTGTGTCAAAACAGCGCTGGAGCAGACTACTCAAAAGCGAACTAGAAACAAAGGGAAGGTTTCTCAACCTCAACCGAAGGTTACTCCGAAGGTCCGAGAGTCTATGCTTCTGCTTCTCCCATGGGAAATATTGAATATGGTGTTCGGCTTTCTGCCTTCTCAGGCAGTTATCAATGTACAAAGAGCCCTCCATCTAACCTTGGACGATGACTTCTGGCACTCACGGATAAGCACCAAGATCTTTCATGAAGTGAAAACACCTACGCCCCGAACTAATTGGAAGCACTTATGCCTGAAACTGGAAAGACGGCTAGAGAAGTCGGAGGCGTTAGCTACACGGCAGCGCCTACTGACTTGTTTAGATGAGATATATTCATTGTGTAGCACTAATTAATGCGAGACTAACTAATAACCAGTAAATACTTGATACTCGGTTGTATATTTAGAAAGTATTCTGCGCAGTAGCAGAGGTCAGTAGAGATCAGTATGCCCTATACTTAAGGGCAATACGCATCCCTCGAGAACAAGCCAGATTATAACAGTAAAAACGCCACAGTCCTCCATCATTGGCAACCCCGAGATTGTCCCCAAGATTGCGTCCCCAGCAGATACGTATGCGCAAGATGGCCGAGTTAATTACCACATCCTGGGCCAGTTGTCGAAAAAAATAATCCCGGTACGCTAGGTACTGTTTGACTCTTCTTTCGAAACGATAACTCTGATTGCACTAAACGGAAACGATTGAACTAGCTAAGGATCATAAAGGAGGGGACCAGCGGGAACCCCTATTCCTCTTGCCATCCTGCCCGAAACGGCAGGTGCCTCCCGCTTCCGTTACTAGGAAAGCGCCCGACAGTACGCTAACCGCCAGGCCGAAAACAATATATCGCGTGTATCTGGTCACCTGACAACAGATATGTTCATATCTATGACAATAGGCATCTGGCACCGCTTTGCAGCATCTACGCTCATGATATCAACCCCATTGAGCTGAAATATATCATGTAGAGTCTTTCAGCGAATTCCTTCTTCCGCGTAGTATGAGATCATAGAACGTCTCTGGATGGGCAATTGGCCGCGCACAGTTCTCTCAAAGTTCGTTACCATGGATATATACTTGGGTTGGATAGGGACGTGCCTTTGCTAAGCCTCCGGACTTCGGAGTCCTCGACAGATATATTCTGAGGTTATCAAGTTTCGACGTTGTTTCTTTGTGTTATGAACCGTTCTATTCCTTGTGATTGTCTTGAAGCTGATTCATCACTGATAACCCTTTTACTAGAGTTTATGCGGGAAGGTAGAACTTCTGGTTTCCCTTATAGAAGCTGTAATGGACGGGTGCATTCGGTCTTGCATGGTTAGGAAATGTGACGGACTCCAGCGATATGAAGTCGCTCAAAGAAGGAGAGCCGTTCCATGTGGCAAGCCTCGTTCTGAGAGACCGATGTGACTGTAGGGAGGAGCTGGGCTACGTTTCCGCTCATAATGAGTATTCTGGCTGATAGGTGAAAGTCAACGAGCGGATTGGTGCAAGTGCTTTCACTTATTGTGTGGCCATCTCGAAGAAGGCTTCTCTTATAGACTAATGCTTTTTCGTTCGGCCGTTGAAGCCGTACAAAGAACAATGCTTGCCTTTAGTAAGTAGAACTGCTGCAGTTCGAGCCAAAGTATCTTGAAGAAAGTGACCAGTGATCTCGACATATCTTCAGGGCTCTCTGAATTATCAAATAGCCCCGATGAGTCACGTAAGATTAGTTTTTGGCAGTCTCTGTCTTTAAGGACCAGGTATCCTGCCGTAAGCTGTCGCCATGTGAAGGGGTTCTAGGAGCATTTCACTCGTGTCGCTGGTGACCATATTCATTGCAGCTAGAACCACCTTTTGCTGGTATCTCCTAAAGTTCGTCATTCAACAACTTCGTTGATTCAATATCGGTAATATTGAGCGCCCTCATGACAATTAGTAACGCTAGATCAGTAGGTTCCAAAGAGTCAGTTCAGGCCTTTCTTCTTTTGGTATGCCTCTGGGTCTCCGTCCTTAGATGACCAACTTCAAGGCAGCATTTGATTATCAACGTCTTCTCCCATCTCGGCGGAGCCAGAGGGGATTCCATTCAACTATCTAAGAACAGTAACTAAGAACCGGGGCCAAACGCCATCAGCGCACCCCGAAGGGCCGCACAGGACTTACATTGCCTGTTCCAAACCATTGAGTCAGTGTGAATGCATGTATAAAGGATCAGGGAGTGCTCACCATTAGGATCGGGAGGACGGGCGGCGGCCAGACCGGGCGGAGGCATCACCACGGCCGGAACCACCACGGCCAGAATAAGCAACCGGACGATGACCGGAAAAGATACTAGCATCAGTAACAATCAAAGGATTATCAAGGGAGCTACCAGGCACAGAATCCGCGCTAAACCCATACAGAGTTCATGTCGGCCGGAAAAATGACTGTTATAATGAAGGATATATACTCACACATCAACTTCATCCAAGTTAAAAGCATCATCAATCAAGCGCAGGAGATCATTAACATAGTCTTCGAAGGAGCTGGCTACGGCAGCAGAAGCCACACAAGCGCGTTGGGCCCCGTACTCCAGGAGCACATTATCACAGAGATCCGCTAAAGTCCATGGCAATAGTTTGTGTATTTTCCGAGTCATCTCGTCTTAAATCATAATTATGCTCAAACAATCAACAGCCGGTTTCGCCTGTTTCGATGATATTATCATATCGTTCCGTTTTTATGTGCCAGTAGCAACTCTTATAGATAATTATGCTTTGAGGTCTTCATCCCCATATAAAGCGTATCTGATTGCCTGTCTTGCTTGTCGGATAGCAGGTTGTTTATTGCCAGATTTGTCGATATCTGACACCCCCAGGATATCTCTCTTAGTCCTTCTCATAACAGAGAGTCATTCTGCTGCGATAAATGAAGAATGCATACCATACAGGTAGTAATTCTGGTATGTCCGTAAGATTCACCTTGTACTCTTCAGATCGTTGTGCATAATCCTTCCTGGGTTAGTATTATGATCCACATTCCGCTGACGTTCCCGGCTGAACTTCCGCTATATAGCACGGAAGCATATATTTGTTAAGAACACTTAACAAGGCAATATCGGGAGCCATAGCTCTTTAATACTATTGTATCTCCCGAACCGGCTTGTACGACGCTGTGAAGAGAGAACGTACAGTTGCTATATGCAATGGCCCAGCAGCACAAACAACGGCCCAATGGGCCAGCTGGTAAAGGCAGAACAAGACCACTCTGAGACGACGGAACCTCAGCGGTCCATAGGACCTACTAGAAGTGGATAAAGCGTGCCGAATGACAGCACCTTATTTGCTCATAATTAAACTGTTCAACAAGGGTGGCCCATTGGGCTTGCTGGATAGCAATGGTGAGATGAAACAAGCAAAACGCCGAGACTGTTCTTAACAGCGGCCCACTGAGCAGTCAATATAGGCCCATAGGGCTACTAAAAGAGATTTTGGTGATTCATACACCTACGCAATATTAGCGTGCGTTCAACGTCTTGAACTTAGTATTCCATTATTGGCGAAAAGGGGAAGAGACGGTATGGAAGGGAGAGAATATTCAAAAAGATGGGAAAGCAAAGTGGGAAGCGCAATGAAGGAAGATTGCACTCACCTTTTCCTGTTATTTCTTTGTATCCGGAATATGTTCATGATTTAAACTTGAGCTCCCCATAAAACCTGGGAATATGAACGGAGGACCCATCTCATAAACCCAATTTGGGTTTCGTCGATAGGGTATATGTTTTCATCGACATCACTAAAGTAGTTTGGCGAGTTCAGATGCATTAGGCGTACTCCAACTGTTGTGTATTTAGCGATTAAGTATCTTGGTATACTACTTATAGAATCCTTTTCGGAAGTGCTAGACAATTTCCCTTGATGGACCAATTCTTGATTTTAAAGACCAATACTTCGTATTTTATGAAGGTATTTAAGTTGAGGGGACAATGCAGAAGGAAGATTACGAAGGGGGAAAGTAGCATTTTATATCCCTCCCCGAGTCCGAGGCAGGCAATGAATAATCATAGTAAATGGAATAAGTGGCAATTCAATCAGCGCACAGTCAATATATCAGTGATCAGTTGTAGTGATATTTGGAGAGTAAGGAGGGAATCATCGGGGTTTATGTGAATACATATCGTAGTCTTCTGGATGAGGAGGACAAGAAAGGGAATACCAACTATTGGATTGCAGTGCTTAGGGTAGGCCAGTATCAAAATGTGAATGGCTTCGTCCTCGGGTCTTTATCAACCTTTGATTGAGAAGATTTAACTTTAAAAAAAATGGCAATCAATGCTGCGTGAAATATCATCATTTGAACCACTCTAAGCCTTGACCCTTATATGCTCAAACCCTCCAGCTGCGCGAGAAGCTTCCCCGAGTACATCGGTTCCAGATCGCATCCGTATCGCTGTCCATGGCCATGCCCCATACCCCTAATATTGCTTTGGACAATTAACAGCTCTCGTCGATGCTGTTCGAGCTGCTCAAGTAGAGACGCATACTTAGGCCCACGCATATCCAGACTTCCTTGATCATGTGCTTTTTCCATTTCCTGCACATGAGCTCGAGCAGCACCGAGCTTGGAATTTTGGGCCTCAAGCTCTTTCGAAAGGGGTGAAAGGGTCTGTGAATTTACTGGTGCGATGGAAGACTTATTGGCTTTGCGATCCTGTGATGCTTCGAGTGTGCTGAGCTTTGCTCTTATCATCTTGTTCTCCTTGCGTTGTGCTTCAATATCCCTCATAAAGGCCGACAGTCTTTCACGATGCATTTGCTCCATGGTCACCTTCAAGTCTCGTTGTGCCCTTTCAGCAGCGGCCAGCTTAGCGTTAATCTCCGCAGTGTTCTGGCGCAGCATCTCGGCGGATTCTTTGTCCTTCTCTGCGAGAGCTTCCTTCATCATTTCCCGAAGGTCATCTAGCTCCCTCCTCCACCCGTCACACTAAGCCTATTCTAGACTCCGCGTTCCTGAACCGGTCTTAGGTTTAGCCTTATCGCTATACTCCCTGGATTCATCTCTCTTACTTATTCGTGCTTTAGTTACACTTGGAAACATGGATACAGAATTCCGCGATGACCTACTTCAAAGCTACTCAGATGCAGAACTCATCTAGCACATTGTTTCATCACCCCCTGCAGACTCCTCTCTAATGAGCCGAGTATCCTCCCTCTCTCCAAAATATATCTCCAAGTCCTTCTCTAACCCGTCCGACGCCGAAGACTCAATAAAAGCCACAGAGCTAGCTCATAGCCTAGGGATACCCTGCCCTACAATACGAAGGATAGTCACTAGCAACCGGAACGTATACAGCATCATGGACCGAATCGGCGGATCAACACTAGACGACATCTGGACAAGTCTAGGATGGTTCATTTAGACGTGACTACGAGGCACTGGCTTCTATGCAGTCGCGGTTTACTCATTTTCCGGCTGGGAGGAGGTTTGAGCTACTGAACGTTGGTGGACCTACTAGACGGCGAGTTTCGTAGGTGTCGTGCTCATGATGGAGGATAGTCTTTCACGTCAAGTGGAGTTGTCAATAATATGTCTTTCCCTCTGTTCACTCGTCTTAACCTTGAAAATCCCTCAACCAAACCCGTATCTGTCCCTGATTACATACCAAGATCCCACAGGTATCTCTCCCACCTAATAAACATACCTAAAATTCAAATTCTCCTTATCAGTCAGATCCCCAAACGCCACCACATCATCCCCATCCCCACTGCCAACCCCAACCACATCCCCATCCTCCCTCATCCTCATCTTATCCCTCCTCCGATTCTCCCACGCCAACACAGCCCTTAGCACCCCAATCAACGCAATTTCAATAAAATTGGCCACAACCATCGACCAAATCCCCAAGGTATACCGCGGCGCCTGCTCGGAGCGATAGAAAAACGGCCCCGCAATGTTACCCGCACACACGCCGAGGAAGATCATCGCGTTAGTGACGACCTTCTTTGTATGGCCTGCGATATTACCAGTTAAGATGGACAGGATGAGCACGAAGGAAGCGTTGTATGAGCCTGTCAGGTAATAGCAGATTAGACGGCCGACTTGGTTAGTGGCGGGAAGGAAGGCGAGGCCGAAGGAGCCGGCTAGGTTGGGGAGGAGGAAGAAGATGGCGGTTAGACAGCGGTTGTTGGGGGGGAGGCGATCGTTGATGAAGACGGCGATGATGATCATTAGAGAGGTGAAGGCGCCGTAGGGGATTTGCATTAGGGTTGTTACCACTGCCATCGTGTTGTTAGTCTTGGTGCTAACTTAACAATGATATATATATAGCCAGAAAAGTAGAGGAAACATACGTGTTGAGAACCCAAATCCTTGGATGATCAGAGTGCCAAAGTTGGAGATTCCTCCATTGGGAATATTGCCTGACAGTCCAAGGAGCAGGAATACCCAGACTTTCCAGTCGAGGAGGGCTTCGAGGACTTGTGTTGGCTTGAGAGTTTTATTCTCAACACCGGTTTGATTGTCGCGGAGTCGCTCGATGGTTAGTCGTCTTTCTCGAGTGGAGAAAGTACGGGCATTGACGGGGGAATCAGGTAGAAAGATCGTGATAAGTATACCCCAGAATGCACAGAGGGCGCCGATGATGAGAAATTCATACTTCCAGGAGGCGAGGGCACCATTGATCTGCCCGATGCCATAGCCTAGAAGACCGCCCAGCGCAATTCCAGCTCCATTGGCTGTGTACCAGATTCCGATGCGGATGGGCTGCTCGCGTCGCGTGTACCACATGCTGGTAATGAGCATGAAGGCGGGATCACTGGATTGTTAGTTACGATTTTCTGCATACCGTGTATAGCACTTACCTGCATGCTTCAGCGGCCCCGGATATCACCCGCAGAACAGCCAGCTGAGTGAAGTTCTTTGCAACAGCTGCCACTATTAGACATCCAATCAATTTATATTTGCAGTGTACTCACCCTGTAGCATCAGAAAGAATCCCCATAGGAAGATATTCACGCCCAGGTACTTGCCCACAGGGAAGCGCTGGAGGAGAAAGTTGGTAGGCAACGCCCAGACAAGGAAGCCAAAGTAGAAGACAGATGACAGCCATGAGTATTGCTCGCCCGTCAATTTCAGGTCATCCTTGATGCCAAAGATGGCTGCATATGACAGCGTAGTTTTGTCAATCTGTCCGTGTCAGAAGATCCCATTCGAGGAATCTGCACACTCACGTAGTAGAACGCATAGCAGACTGAGAGGAACGGCAGGATGACCCAGTCTATCTTGCGCACTAGTTTCTTCAGCTCTTCGGGCTCAGCTGATTCCAATTCACCGCCATCTGCAAGGAGGGCGAGTGCCGTATCTCCATGGCTGACTTTGCCGGGGTGATGGATGTCCTCGACATGCGAAGGGGACCGCTTGTGAGCATCTTCTGGGTGTTCCGTGGCCATGGTGCCTACTATTGCGGAGTATGAATGAGATGAGGAGATCCATACTCGCAGGACCAATGTATACAACCCCCAAGCCAAGTCTGGGGTCAAGGTTAGCGTGGGGGATCGGCATCACCCGCAGCGGATATTTCTCCGCATTTTGACCGGCTAATCCGGGGTTGGGGTTAGACTTGGCGAGACCATTTTCTCCGCAGTTGACATTTGTTCTTTCTCCTTAACATTGAGTCACTATTGAAAGCAGAATGTCGATACTGAGTCGAGAGGAGGTTGAGAAGCACTCGACACGCGAGTCGTGTTGGGTAGCTATTCATGGTTCCGTTTACGATGTCACTGGTAAGTTCAATTGGGGCTATCATCGCCAATTACTCACACCGCCAGAATTCCTCGATGAGCATCCTGGTGGTGCCCAAGTAATTCTTCGCTGCGCAGGCAAAGACGGTACTGCAGACTTCGATTCAGTCCACGATAAAGACGTGCTCTCGCAAGCTCTGCCTCCATCGGCACTCAAAGGCAATGTCCAACCAGACACTCTCGCGAAGGCATACAGACCCCTTCCCAAGACATCGGCGACAGCAGAAGAAAACCCCCCGCCTCCGCTAAGCAGTATAATAAACCTAAATGACTTCGAGAAAGTAGCTCAGCAACATCTTCCCCCTCACGCATGGGCATATTATTACTCTGGAGCCGACGATGAGATCAGCAAACGCGAAGGTCAGGAAGCTTACCAGAGGTTGTCCTTCCGTCCTCGAATTCTCCGCAGCATTCGCAGCGTAGACACGACCACCTCGATTCTGGGCCAGTCTGTCTCGTTGCCTGTCTACATGAGCCCGTGCGGGATTGCCAAATTTGCTCATCCGGACGGAGAATGCGCAATGGCCGTCGCAGCTGGCGAGGAAGGATTGGCACAGGTGTTGGCGAATGGCTCTAGCATGTCCATTGATGCTGTGCGTGCGGCTGGAATTCGCCCTAACCAGCCGCTCTTCCAGCAGGTGTATGTCAACAAAGACATAACAAAGTCGGAGGAGACAGTCCGACGAGCTGTGAAAGCAGGTGCTAGTGGCATTTGGATCACAGTCGATTCCCCTGTTGTTGGGAAGCGGGAGATGGATGAGAGATTGAACCTTGAGGTTCAGGTAATAAGGTACTATGAATAGCTCGAGAGCGATTCTGACTTCTACAGGCACGCGACTCTTCTGCCAAAGGATAAGGTGTCGCAAAGACCATGGCCAGCTCCATCTCGCCGTATATTGACTGGGATATTCTCAAATGGGTCCGCGGACTTACCGATTTGCCGGTTGTGATTAAAGGTATCCAGTGTGTGGAAGATGCAGTTTTGGCATATCAACATGGAGTACAGGGAATAGTTCTGTCCAACCATGGTGGAAGGTCTCAAGATACGTATGTGGAATTCGAGCCCCAAACATATATTCCATAAGCTCACACTCAACAGGGCACAACCTCCACTTGTCACTTTACTCGAGATCCGACGATATGCACCATACCTTATCGAAAGTAACATGCAAATCTTCATCGACGGAGGCATTCGACGTGGAACAGATGTTCTGAAAGCTCTTGCATTAGGAGCAACCGCTGTTGGGCTTGGACGACCATTCCTGTTCAGTCTGGCAGCAGGTTATGGAGCCGACGGGAACCGTCGGGCCATTCAAATCTTGCGGCAGGAAATCGAGATGAACATGGTATTTTTGGGAGTGACGAAGCTGTCGGAATTAGGGCCACATTTGGTGAATTCGATGAGGCTAGAGCGAGATGTAGTTGGCTCTGTGAAATTGTGAAAAGAGGTTGTGTAGAATACTGGATATGGTTATATCCCCAATCCACATTGTATGGTTCACATCCAGGCACAGCCTTAACCGGAACACAGACCAGTTCGCACTAAATGGCGTTAAGAGGGGCATGGGCTGACCAGTGCATGTTAGTGCGTAAGCACTATTCCCCATGGAATTGGCACGGGCTTATCGAAGCCATTCGGATAGCGGGAACACCACGGAATTAATCTGGCTGGTGGATGTCACAAACAATGCTTGTGCTTAGTTCCCCTCCCTGCTAATTTTCACTCGGTACCTGGCTATTGCACTACTTTAACCCCCTCATCTGTCCTCTTCCAACATTCTTCTTACGCCCTCAAAAATCATCTGTTCATTCACTTTCTTTTTAACACACTTCAGATATTCCAACTCAACCAAATGGCTTCCTCCGCAGAACCCCAGACAGCCCCCTTCGGCACTTGGGACAGTCCCATCACAGCCGCAACCCTGACGTCAAAAGGAATCAGTTTCGCCGGCATCGCCGCCACGGTCCGTCCCTTTTCCCTCTCCATTTTACTACATCCGAACTAAACTGACCTCTCTCGTCAGGCGGATGGTATCATCTACGTGAACGAAGGCCGCCCTGCCGAAGAAGGCCGCAATTGCATCGTCGAATGGCGCAACAACCAGCCCCGTGACGTTCTACCAGCTGCGTACAGTGCTCGCACCGCCGTCCACGGCTATGGCGGCGCGGCCTTCAACACCACGTCAGATGGGAAGGTCATTTTCGCAGACTGGAAGACTCACGGGGTGTATATTTTGGATCCTGCAACCTGCGATGTAACAGCCGCCGTGGAGCCGGATGAAAAGATCTGGTACGCTGCGTTCAATTCGCACCCCAAGAGACCAGAATTGGTTTTCGCCATCAGGGAGGATCATCACGGCAAGGAGGTTGTCAACGAGCTTGTTGTAATTAATACTGAGAGTAAGAAGGTGGAGGTTGCAGCGACAGGAGCGGACTTCTACTCGCATCCCACTTTCAGTCCTACTGGTGATAGAGTGTCCTGGATCCAGTGGAACCATCCCGAGATGCCGTGGACCGGGACCGAGTTGTATTCTGCGCCTTGGAAGGATGAGAAGGTTGGAACGCCCGTGAAATTGGCAGGAAATGGCGATGAAGAAAGTATTTTGCAGCCGAGATGGGGACCGGACGGAACCTTGTTTTTCGTGTCGGATCGCACAGGATATTGGCAGTTTTATCGCTGGAGCCCGGATGGAAGTGATGCGCCCCGCGCTATCGTTATTGAAGGCCTGGAGAAGGGCGAGTTTGCTCATCCAGAATGGCTCCTGGGATCGTATGACCCTCTTACCTTTTTGCTCACATAGTATACATCTAACACGATGCAGTTGCACTTACGTTCTTCCAAACGCCAACACAATTGTCGCGGCCTGGACGCAAAACGCAACAGAGCGTCTCGTCATCATCGATCTCGAGAAAAACAGCTACACCTTCCCTGCCCACATCGCATCGCTCACGGGCATCCAACACAGCGCTGTGGCTCTGACATCTCCTACCAGCATTGCCGTCATCGCCAGCACTCCAACCGCCCCCAGCACAGTCTACCACATCTCTCTCACCACCAGCGATGCGTCTGCACCAACAGTCCTTCGCTCCTCCTCGTCTGTCACAATCTCCGACACCTACTTCTCTCGCGCTCAACACATCTCTTTCCCGCGCACCATCTCCACCCACCCTAACACCCTCTCACATGCCTTTTTCCTCCCTCCCACGAACCCCAAGTACAGCAGTGCCCCAGGCGAGCTTCCTCCACTCATCATCACCATCCACGGTGGCCCCACCATCCACACCGACCCCGGACTTAGCATGATGTGGCAGTACTACACCACACGCGGATATGCCGTTGCCCTCCTCAACTACGCCGGTTCCTCCGGCTACGGACGCGCCTACCGCAAACTCCTTAACGGAAGTTGGGGTGTACTCGACGTGCACGACGCCGCAGACTGCGCCCGCTACCTGATCTCCGAAGGCAAGGTGCACCCATCCCGCATTGGCATCACTGGCGTGAGTTCCGGTGGATACGCCACCCTCCAGGGAATCTGCATGTTCCCGACTCTGTTTACCGCTGCGGTCAGCGTCTCTGGCATTAGTGACGTCGAAGCCCTCGTGGCTGAAACACACAAGTTTGAGAGCCACTATGCCTTCCGGCTCTTGTTCGATGACAAGGTGCCCGAGACAGAAGAAGAGAAGCGGAAGGTGTACCGCGAGCGGAGCCCCAGGTTCCATGCGGATGTAATCAAGGCCAAGCTGTTGCTGTTGCAGGGTACAGCGGATGAGATTGTGCCGTTGAACCAGGCGCAGGCAATGGCTGATGATGTTCTGCGTAGCGGTGGGGTGGCCAAGTTGGTGATCTTCGAGGGCGAGGGACATGGGTACCCGCGCAAGGCGGAGAATGGCTTGCAGGCTAAAAAGGTGGAGGAGAGCTGGTGGAAGGAGAATTTGGCCGAGGTCAAGGGGGAGTGAGTGCGACCAGGCATGATTTGTCACAGCTAGATCGTTAAACACGGGTGGATGCCCAGTAGAAGAGATGCAATCTAGGCATACCTAGTTCTAGAATATAAAACAACTGCCATAATCTCATCGTTCCCTCAGTAGAACCGTAACCCATAACCCGAAACTAACAACTACATAGCGCAGGCCAGGAAAACCAACCAATTGGTTGTTGAAACATCCCTGGAATCCATCAGTGCCTAGTAGGATTAAGTACATCGCTCACCACCACATAGAACGATGCAACAGTCAGTGCTATCTACCATATAGACCACATTTGAGGTCCACAAATTAATACCTATACTGTTACTCTCACCCCGCTCGCGAAGAAATAACCAGATAAGAGCCATATACACGAAGAAAGGTGTCTGATATTGATCCCTCACACACTATATATATATAAAGATGACATGATAATCCTCACCACCCCAACACCCACCCCCGCCCCCCCACCAACAAAAACACAAAAAATGCTCACACTCGGATTCGAACCGAGGATCTCATGATTACTAGTCATGCGCTTTACCAACTAAGCCATGCGAGCAATTGATGCTGCTGAGGCAGGAATTTATGCCATAACAGGCTATCCTATAGTACTTAGGCGAAAACCCGTAACATGTGCTGATTAACCATAACCGACAATGCAAATGCCATACTACCTATGGCAAAATTTACATATAACAAAGGGCGCATTTAATCAATATCAATATCTACAGACTAGGTAGATTGTGGGACGGCGAGCCGATTAGCCGATCTGCAGACACCCGGGCTATGTATGCATGTATGCACTGCAGCCAAGAGACCGAGATGGAGTTGGATTGATTAAGAACGGCGATGGTGTGGTTCTCGGAGAGGGCCCGGATTGCATCAGTGCTTGATATGGATCCCGGGATACGACGTCGTAGGGGGTAATAGGCTTGTGGTCGCCGATGTGTTCGGTCGGTGTACAGGGGGGGGTTATCAATCACCGGATCGGGATCTGTGGGTGTTGAATGCGTCGGGAGCGGTGGTGGTGGCTGTGATGGTTCATGAAGAAAGGGGTGATTGGCATGTTATTCCGTACTTTGGGATTGAGTTTGTTTGGTGCAGGTGATAGGCATAGCTTGATTAGATTGTGGAGGCATGGAATGTGTCTTCAACTCTAGGTTGGGGATGTTAAGCAGTATAGGAGGAAGCGAAGCGAGTAGTACTATATTTGGTTTTGGTAAAGGGAAGGAGCAGTGTACATCAGTGTAAGATCCAAATATCTCTCCAATCACGACCAGTAAGATGATCTCAACAGTGTAGTCCGAGTATGCAACTCTAATTTCAACCCCTATATCCACTATAAACAGTGTAGACAGTACACGTCAAACCCATCCCAACACTTCTCCCCACAATGAGTTGAATAGAACGAAGGGAAAATTCTCCGAATAAATAACAAATCGATCAACCCTAAATACAAATTCAATTCCAAATATATCCTCAACATGCAAAACAAGATTACTGTACACCCACCCATTGCCTCACACTATCGATCTACTCAACCACTGATGGAGTGAACCATGGTTCAGTGAAGATAGTCAGCGACCGGGTCGGGGACCAAGCCAGCTAAAATCTGCACTAACCAACGAATCCCCGGCATTTCCATCCTTCCATTCCCCTTCGATCGTCTTGTTTCCCCTGCACATCCTCTCTCCGACCGTCCGAAGGAACCGCTGGTCCACGAGGGTGATATCTGCAGCTAGAATTAGGATTTAATATACTATCCCTGCAGTTATGATGACCTGATATAGACATTGAATGTATATATTTGTATATATATATAATCATGTGCCGCAATCCTCAATACCAAAGCTTTTTAGAAATTCTCAATGAGAGGAAAAGATACTCACTCGGGGACTCCCGCCCAAATCGGCCCTCCAAGTTTCTGGTTCTGGTTTCGGGGACCAGTTCGGTCACAGTATGTGATTGGAATGTGTGGTCCCCGAACTGCCACTCACTCACTCGGCCTCTTTGTTCACTTCAAAATCGGTGAGGAAGGAAGTCGCCGTTACAATTTCCTTGTCCCGTACATTTCGCATTGTGATGTTGCTGGACTGAGATCCTTTCTAATGGCTCGATTTTGGCCTTCATCTTGTTTGTTGCTTGTATAATGAAGGTATTCTTCATCTTCGATCACCTATCCCTACTATTCTCTGTATAGCTACAACATGTTCACGCCAGTACATACCACGTTCGGGGCGTTGATGCTCTTCCAGAGCTCTACGGGATTGCTGTTGCACAATGGGGCGGTTTTCGGCATATCCTCGCTCCTGTCGGGAGCTCTTTTGAATCCGACGAGGGATAATGTGGCTCTCATTGCTGGTCTAGTGTCGAGTGTTGTCCCCGTCGCTCTTTTCTTGCCGTCTGCCATCCCATCATATCCCACTGCACCAAATTCTTGGGGGTCGTGGCTCTTGACCGTGGGCCATGGGTTTCTGCTGGGATGGGGTACAAAGGTAGATGAAGCTGAGTTCCCTCCGAGAAAAGACAGCTGTAGGTGCTGACGGTATTATGGGATAGAATGGTCGAGGTTGCACGTCCGGCCACATGCTCTGTGGCATTTCTCGATTGTCGCCACGCTCGTTTATTGCTACCGCTGTCTTCTTCACCACCGCCCTACTCACAGCCAATTTCTTCGCCGGCGGCTCCAACATCCCCCCGTGTGCTGGTGGAACACCCTGCTACATGCCCGTCTATCCATCGACTGCGGAGCTAGCCGTCATGCTCACCACCACAGCAGTTACATCCGTGATGAACTTCGTCGTCGTCCCCCGTACCCTCGAGAGATCCGAGCGCTCAAGGACTATATTCTCGTATCTGGCGGGTCTGGAATTTGGCGTAGGACTGCTGTTCTCCGGAATGGCTGACCCAACCAAGGTCCTGCGATTCTTTGCCTTCCTGTCTGACCCTTCGCGATTTGATCCATCACTGGCACTCATAATCCTCTTCGGAATTGGCCCGTCACTGATAACCTTTTTGTCGACCAAACCGGGGCAACAGACCGATAACAAAGCGGAACAGTCCACACCCACTCTGGCGGCACAATGGAGACTTCCCACTGCGACTGTAGCAGATATTGACTGGAGATTTGTGGCAGGCGGAGTCGCTTTCGGCCTCGCCTGGGGACTACGCGGGGTATGCCCCGGTCCAGCCATCCTGCGCAGTGTGCTCCAGCCGGTTTGGGGGCTTGCAGAGATGACTGGTTTTATGCTAGGAAATCTGATGTAATTTTTTCCCGTTGCTGTGATAGAGTGGTGGTGCTGTACAAAAAGCCGTCCTGGAAGGGCCATGCGCGGCGGTGTGGCCGAGTGTTTCCATTCATGAGCTATGCAAGCAATCAGGCATTAGCACAGCTCATAAATATTCGGCGCAAAAGATGTACATAGAGAATCGAGGTCGCAATGGCCAGTAGAAAATGTAAATATATTCAGACAATGCTTACAGTTCAGTCTTGACATCGTAGCCAGTGCGCTTGTTCTTTCCATGGGCATCTTCTCGAGATTCCTGCTCAGATCCCGGCATGAAGCCCTCCAGCTCCATCCACTCTGCCGCAAATGCGGTGACTAACAAGCTCCAGTCCTCTACTGTCGCCAGGTCCAAATGCTCGCCATCGTCCTCAATGCGATGCCAGACTGGCGGGAACCCATGGGGACCCGCATCGATTACATGGAGGATCTCTACTCCGCGTTTCATGAAGGGGATGTGGTCATCCTGGATACCGGAATAGTAAGGAATCTCGTGCTCGCTTTTGGAGGCATGCGTGAACCAGAGCCGCTGCCGATCGGGATCGTTGCCGGCGGATTTGAACTGGTTGAGCCGTCGCAGACGGCGCTCAAGTGCAGCTAATTTTTTGTAGGCCCAGTGTGTGGTAGGGAAGAATGACTGGATGGTTGGATCTTTCGAACCTAGCAGATCCAGGAGAACAAAGAGGGATATCGAGGCGAGCGGAGTCTTATAGATGGACATGGCTGGGTGGACATCTGAATCCCATTGTTCGGCGAGCGAGCGAGCACCGTAGAGGGAATCGGTGTCGGTCCAATACTTGAAGGCCTCCTCACCGTCCAAGAAAAGCACCTGAATGCCCGTCTGCTCATCCAACGGATTTGTCTCGCCTTGTGCCTGCATGGCCTCCCACTTCTTTGTCAGAGCTGCATCGATGCTCCTCATAGCATGCATAATCATCGCACAAGGCGCTGCACTGTCAATAGCCCCGATGAATCCTTCCGGTTCGTATTTACTGTCGTAATGGGCGACCAAAGTCAGTCGCCCAACGTCGCCGGGGGCCGCCCACGGGGGGTCACGGGATGCGATCAAGTTCACAAACGGCACATCTTTCCCATTCGACACGGGTGTCTTCGATGTCGAGTTTTGAAAGTCAATTTTCCAGTCAGGGAGCGAGTTCCGGAAGAAGTCGACGAAGTGGTTCAGCACGGCTGTCGATCCGGAGGTCCCAGACACACGAGGCCTCAGGATCGGGGACAAGATGGCGCCGGTATGAATATCGAAATCATCGTTCGGGCGGGGAAGAGATTCTAATGTCTGATCCGAGATGGCCTGGTATGCGTTGCCTGGAGCTATTAGGAAGAGGACGGTGATGTAGATGGAGAGCAAGGGGGCCAGAAGGCCACGATAAGCTGAATACATCGGAATAGCGGAGCGACTGGGGTCAGCACGTCTTCATCGCAAAGGATATGGATAGCGTCTAAACAGCCTCCAATGCAGGAGGATGGCGACGATGCCGACGAGTAAAGCCAGGGGATGGTCTGTTGAGGAAGCGATGGTGATTGGGGAAGGTTCAAGTCTATTCCCATCTATTGTCGGCCCGTCAATCGAACCTCCGACCGCCAAGCCGGATCACGTTGCGGAGCTTCTCCAATTTCCCTGAAAAAAGTCACCCGGCCATCCTTTCGCACTGAAGTCAGTCTTCACATTGTCCGTTCGACTCTTCTGACCTGCCAACTGGCCCGAATATACCGTCGGAAGCTCAGCGCGAACTCATCAAGCCCCCTTGTCAAACTACCCAATGCGTCCTGTCATCCTGCTGAGCGCGCAATTGCGCTCCGCACTTCCCCGGAGCGTGCGGAGAGACCTCAACAGCAAGCTATTTGCTCGATTCAAGACAACCCAGAACCCTGTTCCTCCGCCGAAGCCTAGTGCTCCTTTTATCAAGCGAAAGGAACCTATTGCACCTCGGAATCCACAGGCCTCGCCTACTAAACATGCTAAATTGACGTTTCGCAAAGGTATAGCTCCCCCGCTAAGTTGCCCGGATAAGGAGAAATCATGCTGATTCGATATTTGTAGGGCCACCGGAGAAGGTAGTGGTGTATTATAGCGGAAAAGGGAGGACAGCTGTGGTAGGAACATTGAAGCTCGTTTCTCTTTTGATATTTGGAGTTTCCTGTTTCCTTCTCGCTCCAGCATTCGTATCATCGGATGAGCATCCATGGTACCTCGCCCCTGCAAGTAAGTATGCACGGTCACCTGTTCGATATGCTCCTGCTGACCCTTGGGAAGTTGCAATTGGCGGTACTCTTCCGATGATCTTCATCCTCTACACCACAGCGCCGTTTGTCGTTTATGTGCACGTTGCCATTCCCGCCTTTGCCCGCCGCTCCCGCGAGACAATGATTGAATATGTGAAGAACCTGCCGCCCACGGCCACCTTGTACATGACTACCATCCGTTCAAGTTCATTGCCTCAGCAGACAGAGGTCAGACTGGGTGACTTGGTTCTCAACAAGTCTATTCTCCGGCCTATGACCTTTACCAATTCAAAGCCCGCGCCCTCTCCATGGTGGGCAGGAAAGACCCCTCAACACTTTTACACGGATGTGAGGTCCCAGCGCTCGACACAGTCCCCAAACTACTTTCCTAACTTGTGGGATGACGTGTTCAAGAAAATTCAGAACAATGGCTTGAAGAAACAGAACTGAGAGATTCACTGAACATGTTCTATACCAACCCGCCGAGTAGGAACTTTGACGGTACCCGATCGCAATCAAAAGTCTTAGTCTGTGTTTTCGCTGTTTGCTTTGGTAGCCAGCGAAGCGGGTTGCCTTCAGCTCATTCACAGCTCTGAACTCAGGTCTATCTCTGCTGTTGCACAATTTGAGTTCGTGGCAACACAGTTCTTTCCTCGCCAAGGACTTTACCTGTTATCATCTACACGCAGCCAACTCTCACCTCTGATTTCACCTTTTCCCTTACTTCTCGTTTACCATTTCTAACTTCACCCCGAGTCGCTCCTACCATTACATTCTATTCTCCACTACTTCCCGCACATCATCATGTCTGCACTAAAGCTCAACCAACCCGAAACCCTTCTGGGGCTGAGTATGGCCGAAGCGCGGATGATCATTCTTGGTGTGCTGAGTTCCGATAAATCTGGCAAAGTATGTACCCTTATCTTCTAGCTATGGAGATACCTCTGACAACAACTGCAGGTTGACTTTGATAAGATGGCCGTCAAGGGCGGCTACAAGAACGCTCAATCTGCTAGTACTCTCTATCACAAGGCCAAGCGTAGGCTTTTCGATATCCATAATAACCCGGCCGATCAAGAAGCTGGTACCTCTATCAGTCCTGCAAAGGAATCCGCTTCCACCACTGCCACTCCCAAGAAAACGCCCGCAAAGCGTGGCAAAGACAAGGCTGTCGCCGATGATGACAACACTGGTGCTATCGAGACTACTCCAACTCCTTCCAAGGGGAAGCGTCAGAAGACGGCAGCTACCCCGAAGACCCCGAAGACTCCTCGCTCCGCGCCGAAGGCTGTGAAGACAGAGGCTCCGTAGGTAATTGTTACCCCTTGCGCCTGTCCTTGTTGCTGATTATGTTACTCCTATATAGAAAGCCTGGAGGCGTCACTACTCCCACTCCGGCCGAAGGCAATGTCGTCGTGAAGAAGGAAGAACACGATACGGAGCTCGAAAACAGTACCGTCAAGGAGGAGTTGAAGTCTTCTGATGATGAGGAACTTATGAGTACCAGCCAGATGAGTGCAGAGTTCTCTGGCATGGGAAAGCGCCCAGATACTCCCAAGTAAATGGGTCTGACTTGAAGAGTCTGATAGCGTGGTCTGGTCCTTCTCTTCACGCTGAGTGCTCTATGGAAAAATTGCACAGCAGTTTCTTATGGGAAAATAGTGACATGGATGGAATGAAGGGAAGGAATAAACGGTTTTCCTTGGTCTGATATGGTTATGGGAATGGGTTGTCTATCTCTTTAGTGGCCCCGGCAATATTGCAGTTGAACCGCGTTCTACATTAGTGGTGTCGGTTCCCGATTCAATGAGATCTTCAATGAATTCGGAAAATGGAACACGTATCAGAAAATCCCATATAGGTCCTTAAAGTGAATGGTGAAACATTGAAGTCGAACTCCAAACCTAGTTAGACGGTGATTAGAAACATCGTAGTTGGTAATGTTTCTAAACCCACCTTTTACTTATGACATGCGCTGATCCAAAGTTCACGCTCAAGACAAGTCCACTCTAAACAAGCACATGTGGAGGGATCTAATTCAAAAGTCGATGAAACACGTAAAGAGGGAGAACTCAAAGAAGAGACAGTAAACCCCATAGCTGAATAAAACCCCCCCAAAACACAAAAGTTAAGCTGTCTCACTCAATGAGGCAGACGGGCATGTAATAACCATAAGATTTGGCATCCTGCATTCCAGTGCAACAGCCTAACCAGCAACATTAAGCGGTATTTTTACTGGACGATAATGTAGGTCAGCTGGCCTCAATGGTCTAATAGAATGCTGTTCGTAAACTGAGTGAGTCCAGATAGGACGATGTCTAGTTCACTGAATGTGTTATATACTATTCATGCAAATGAAAGTCGAGAGTTACTACGAAGCCAAACTTGACTCCAGCCAATAGCCTTCCTGGAAGGAGTTTCAGTACTTGATAGTAAGCAATACCAGGTTATAGTATGTACCACAACATGATTCAATTCCTTGTTCTGAGCCACCTCAGACATATATGTACGTATGTACAGCTCAGCAGAAGAACAAAAGAAAAAAAAAAGTAATACCCAACTTCTAAAACTCCAATTAACCCTGCACAAGCGAAATCTCCTGCAATTCATTTTGATTATCCAACACACCAATGCGGAGATAATCTCCACCTTCAAGAACCCACATTTTTCCTCCATCAATATCTTCAATCGTAGCGAAAAGATGATAGTAGTTTACTCCATCAATGTTATCCCACTGGATTGATGTAAAGAAGGTTCCGTCGTCCTCAGTAGAAAGACTGCAGCTAGTCGATTGCCCACTGCAGCTAATGTAAGTCCCCAAGAAAACATTGCGAATCAGGAATCCTTGATTGGTGTTAATGGATTCCCACTGATCCAGGTTGGGGAGGCCGTATATGTTGCTGCTGAAGGCTATGGTTTCGTTGGCGTTCTTCGCGTCTAATATCGGGAGGGCGTACTCGGTTCCACCGCGGTAGCCGATGTGGAAGTTGGCTGCGGCGTGGCAGGTGAGGGCGAAGAGGAGGGTGGTGGTGGTGAAGAGGATGTGTTTCATTTTGGTTGTATGGGTGGATGTTGATTTTAGCGAATTGGTGAGCTTGGAGGTTATGCTCGCTTTAGTCTTCAGCTTGAGAAAAAGCAGTAGATGATTGATAGGTGCGAAGGAAGGGAGGAGTAGAGATGGTGGGATATAAGTATACTGAATAGGGTTGGAGCAGCATTACTGCTACATTTTGAGGCGAGCTGAGATGAAACACCCATTGTGTCTTAGAATCATTGACTCTTCGCTTGGTATGTAGTATCTCGTACCTACTATCTACTAGTGTTCTGGAATGCAATCTGCATGGCTTGGGCCCTTATTAAGCAAGACAAGCCCTAGGAGATAAAGTTTGGGTTCGGGTAATTCTCCGCGGAATGCAACAGGGGCAAAGTTTGGAAATGCTACGGTTTGACGGCTACAGCTACAAGTTCAGTTACCGGAGCTGGAATGTTAGGGACTGCGAGACAATTATGTGAGTGGAAGAAGGTGGAGTCAATGGAGTGCACGGATGATGTTCATTGCGGGATATCTCTTGAACGTCATGCCGTCACAAAAAATGTCACTTCGTCCCCTTCTGGTATAATCGTCATGGACTTGGAGACTCCGATGCTGGATTTATTCTCCGAGCTATTCTGACTCGTATTCAACGCAGAATGCTACACTGAATGTAGGTAGGCTGATGATAGAATCATGAAGCGGTTATATGGGAAATGAATAGGTAATTGATACTACCAAGTGGCTTTTCGGAAACTGTCATACCACTATGACCACTACAATAATTGTTGCTACGTTCACCAATATTGTAGAAAGTAACAGCATGAACAGGAGGAGGATTGAGGTAGATTTCTATATTCAATTTTAATTCCCTTCTTTCGTCTCCCACAGTAGAGCATCGTTTGTTGTTATTACCTAGCTATCCCTCTTCACATCAAATCTATAGCTAATTTTCAGTGCTTACTTGGTGTTATGGTTCCTATACAGGAAACTCACTTTCAATTTAAAAAGATCACGCTCGCAGCCTTACAGTAGGACAAGACGTGAGCTTAATGCAGCCTGGTCTTGGCATGCAGAATACCACGTGGCTTATCGTCTGAAAACCCTTTCCTGCAGCGAAACCATACGCATATACCAAGGCGAGTGCAACAATAGCAAGACAGTCAAGTTAATAATTCTTCTAAGCATGCATGAGCTAGATGCTCAGAGACAAAAGGCCCAGCTCAGCCATAAGGAACAAACACCCTGGCGTTTGACTGAACTCGTTCTCCTGGATTACTTGGAAATTTGATATTATGCTATTGGACCTCATGTATTGCTGTACATTGTTGATACTCTATCTAGCACTCGGTCGATATATAAACATTAACTGGTATAAAGTGACATCTACTAAGAACGGTTTATAGTGGTAATAATAATGGTGACTATTAGATGTCTATCAACAGGACTTCTTCCCTGGTTTATACCTGATACTCCTTGTTCAGTCCCCACTCGACAGCAGCAATCTGCAAAGCAAGGACGGGAGAGAACTGGCGCGACCAGGAAAAGCTGCCCGTCATGTACCAGAACCCTGGCATTCCAGTCGGTCTCCAAACCTATGAGCGAGAACGTTAGCCATCTGTGAATTGCACAAAATGCGGGGCTTTACGCAAACTTACACCGAACCGTTCCTGGCTCCCATCCAAACTACAGATCACGCCCGGCACCTTGTCCAGAATCTCCCTAGGCACGATGCGCTCGATCAACTTGTCCGTGCGTTCGAAACCCGTGGCAAGGATAACCACATCCGACTCGATCTGGGTACCATCGGCGAGGGTAATTCCACCAGGGTAGTATTCCCGGACGCCTTCCTGACATCTCTGCACCTTGATCCGACCATCGAGAATCATCCCGCATGCGCCCTGATCAATATAGAAATGACCCGCCTTGATCAGCTGATGATCAACGAGACTGTCGCCCTGGTCGCCTCTCTTGACCGCCAGGCCGGCCTTTTCCAGCCCGTCCAACATGTCCTTATCTAACATGGCCATCATCTGCGACGCACCAACACTAAGAGTTCGAACAACGGCCGTGGGGAACGAGTTACCCAGAAGGTCCGCATCATCGGTGCCCAAGCCCGGCGTATCCCACAGCTTCACTTGGAGCTCCTCCACGGACTTGAGAGAAGTTACGAAAATAGGGCTGCGCTGCACTATCGTGACTGATTTCGCCCCGTGACTGGCAAAGTCCTGGGCGACGTCGTGTGCGCTTGTTCCGGCGCCGATGATAGTAATTTTCTTGTTCTGCACGTCGGGCATCAAGCTCGCAGATTGATGCGCGGATGTGTGGAAGATCTGGCCCTTGAATGTGTCCTCACCGGGGAAGGAGGGCTTGATGGGGATATCGCTAAGTAGACCCGTAGCGAGAACGAGGTGCTTGGTGGTGATGCTCTGTACGCTGCCGTCGTTGGATTGGAGGTCGACCGAGTACCGTTTGGTCGATGGATTGTACTGAATGTTGGTTGCTAGCGTGCCGTGTCTGACATTGAGACTCAGAAGATCTCCGTAGTGCTCCATCCATTTGACAATGTGCTCCTGGTCGAGGTAGCGCGGCCAAGTGGTGGGGTACTTCAAGAACGGAAAGTGGTCCATGTAGCTCGGGGTGTGCGATTTGATGGACGTGTACCTGGCACGCCATGAGTCTCCGGCGCGGGCTGTTTTGTCTACAACCAGATACTTGAGGCCGAGGTTTTGCAGGTGTGCAGCAAGAGCAAGGCCCGATTGACCTGCGCCCACGACCAAGACTTGCAAGTCGCTCTCCTCGTTGTTTGGTTGGGATCCAGATCCACTAGACTGTATCTCTGCCTGCTTCGCCCTCTCTGCCTCCAGCTCGTCTTGTCCATACAGACGCTCAAGAACTGTAAACACCGTCCAGGCCTTCCACTCCTCAGGTCCCACATTTGCCAGGCGAAGGACACCCCTACCCTTGCCAGCCTTGGTTGTGAACCCAAACCCAGCCTGGATGAAGCGCATACCACCCAGGTCAGCCAGGTGTGGCTGTAGTGCGCCAGGCTTATCGAGCGTCGGATCTGAAAACTCACTCGTGGAGCTGGCGAGGTAGCTGGAAATGGCCTGGGAGCCATTATGGCATGCAATGTCCCATGAGAAGGAAACGAAATCGCGCCACCAAGACTCCTTCTCCAGGAAGTGGGCTTGGATAGCATCTGGCTGGCCTGTGGAGAGGCTTTTTGAGAAAGAAGCTAGCCACTCGTTGGCGATCTTGGCTGCATTAAGCTGTTCTGCGTCTATGGAGGGGTGCAGACTAAGGTTGGGAAGAGCCGCTAGCGGCGGAAATTCATCGGGGATTGATCCCATGATAAACGGCAGTTATTGAGAGGGTTATAAGAGAAATGAACGATGAAATTTTTGTGTTGCTGGAAACCCAGTTGGTGGATAGCACTTATATAACTAAAAGCTGACAGCTGCGTGCCGGGTGAACCCGACAGAGTGCTTAGGCCGATAGGTGTCTAGCGGCTGTCCGTTGGAATACAAG